CTATCTCTTTCAATTTTTCCATCGAGCATAAGTAATTCTTACTCAACATTCTACCACCATTACTCACATTTAACGTATTCCCTAATTTATTAATTGAAATAGTGTCTCTTGCCTTTCTTTTAGTAGCAGACATAGCATAATCAACAAACTTCTGAATACTAAACCATTCTATCTTGTGCCCAGTCTCTGTAATGTGTTCCGCCACTTCTGACCGTTCGACCCAGCTGCCTTTACAGGCATTTTTTTGCGCCGCTAATATTTGGTGAATCGGCCGACGGGGATCGCCAACATAAGCCCGATCATATGATCACATAATCTTATAACATCCGGATCTTGATAGCAGGTCATTTTTCTCCCTAAAAGAAGTTATAACGGAAGAAAGTGCCAGAGCTTGTTTGGAAACTGTCTTTATTCCCCACTTCCTCACTAGGTCTCCTATCTTCTTAGAAAGAGGACATGACAGCAAGATTAGAACATGAAAAAGGTTCTCGGCTTGCATTTCTCTGACCAAATAGTCTCCGCCTTAAAGTTCATTCCTCAGTCAAGATATATTATTATCAATTAAGCACAAAGGATACATATTCTTCGGTCAGATGATTTTCATCCGCAAGCCTCATACTTTTAGTAATCATAGATTTTAAAATTCCAAACTTAGTTTTGTAACTATGATTAAAAAGAAATTTTAGAATAAAACCATCTTTCCTAATAATAACATCGTCCAACTAAGTTAATGTCCTATTTTCTTCTAATTTCATTGTGAATTTAGAATTTCTTTCAAGTTGGTTAGGTGAAAATAGGAAACTCTGGTAAACTATATTTACCATCCTGCCAGATCACAATCATCCATATATCTAGCAAACAATTTATGAGTCAGAATTACCTCTTGCATTAAGCGTTCCTCAAGCATAGTCATGTAGTTATTCGCCAAAATTGGAGCTAAGCAAGTATATGAACACACATACACAAACAGGCACCCTCGAGTATACGTGAATTAACTAAACCTATCTATATCTATTTGTATCTTAAATGTTGCCGGTTAATATTTCTGACTTAGTGTTAATTTGAGGTTTCTACAATAATAAATCTCAGCTCGGACGATGCTCGTCAGATGGCGAACGAAAGCTCAACCCGTCTTCGCCCGAAGCCTTGGAAGATGTCTTGTGAACTGCATCAACCTGAATGTCGTATTAATGCCAAACGGAGGCAGTACAATGCAAATCAGCCGACTTCTTCTGGTGAGGTTGACGTGCGAATCACTTCATCATTTACTTCCATGCGAAATGAAAGTTTTCACATCAATCTTATCCCAACAGATTCTTCGAAGCTCCAATGGCAAGAATCATGTGACTTGCTGGCAGAAAGACCAGCGGCATTCGAATGCAGCAGCCAAGACTAGGAGAGTGAATGGTGAACAGACATATCTACTTCAATTAGTTGTAGGTTAGAGTAAATTCCGAATTACTTGGTTTTCTGAGTATTTATTTTAATTGCAGAAACCATGTGCCTTCTGAACGAAGGTCTTTGTCCTAGTAAGGCTGCTAATGTAGAGTGCAATCACAAATCCGTATTTTAGGTGCCTAAGAAACAAGTCTTTCAGAGGCTAGAGTCTTAAGTCAAGCAACTATGTCGCTTCTAAGTTAGCATAAACACTTAAGCTCATCTCCACTCGTTTCTCTCTGCTATAGTGCATAGACTGGAATCCATTTAGCTTCATGGTTCAACTTGAAGTAAGCTTATCATCGTTGATGATTTACTTAGTGTAAAACTCGACTAAAGCAAAGCACCTAATCTGTATACTTTGTCGCCTCGTAATTTTTGTTTTTTTCTATTTCAGCTACTTGAAAATTTATATTCTTGGTCAGAGGCTGAGCAAAGTTGTTCAGAACAA